GTGTTTCACTCGGTTTACCCCCAAGTATCCCTGTTTCGTGGAGTAAATCAAGTGTGTATTTCCGTTGGGACACACTTATACCCTTTTTGGATCTAGCAACCTCCATTCCAAGAAAGTACCTCATTTGTCCTAGGTCCTTCACTTGGAATTCCCTTGCCAGGGCTTTCTTGAGTTGGGAGATAGAAGCTTCATCATCACCAGTTATGACTATATCATCCACATACACAATTAGGATCGTTACTTTTCCATCACTGTGTTTGATGAAAAGGGTGTGGTCCGCCTGACCTTGGTTGTAACCAAACCTTTTAATTGCTTTGGCAAATCTATCGAACCACGCTCGTGGAGATTGTTTCAGGCCATATAATGACTTCTTCAGTTTACAAACTGAATTAGGTGGAGCTATTACTCCATCTGGGACTTCCATGTATACTTCCTCCTCTAAGTCTCCATTCAGGAAAGCATTCTTTACATCCAGTTGATGCAAGGACCAGTCCAGGTTAGCAGCTAGGGACAGGAGTACCTGGATGGTATTGAACTTTGCCACTGGTGCAAACGTTTCTTGATAATCAATCCCATAAGTTTGTGTGTACCCTTTTGCAACTAACCTCCCTTTGTACTTGTTGATGCCTCCGTCAGGGTTGAACTTAGGGGTGAAGATCCATCTGCAACCCACTGCTTTCTTCCCCTTAGGGAGTGTGGTAATATCCCACGTGTTATTCTCTTCCAAGGCTTTCAGCTCTTCATATGCTGCATGTTTCCAATTAGGATCTTTCATGGCCTGTTGAAATGTTTCTGGAATTTTTACCTGTGAACTATTCACCACAAAGGTTTGCATTCTAGCAGATAAATTGCCGTAAGAGACAAATCTTTGAATAGGATGCTGAGTACACGACCTTACCCCCTTTCTAAGTGCAATAGGCCATCCGAGCTCTTCAGGATCCAACTCCGGATTGGAATCATGTTGCTGCCTTGGAATGGAAGGAACCCTACTACTCCTATCTTGTTCTCCTGAGTACTCTGTCACCCCTGCATCAATCTCAACATTCGTTTCCATTGTGTGAGGACTGTTTGTGGGGGTTTTAGGCTGTTCCGGTTGAGGTGTAGGTTTTGGGGTTTTAGGCTCAGGTATTTCTTCTTGTGGAATGGAAGGTTCAGGTGAAGGTTCAGGTGGGTTGGTCTTAGGTTCAGGTGTAATTAGCCATTCTACTCCGTCACTCTCCCCCTGAATGGGTAATTTGGGATAGTATGCATCATCCTCATAAAAGACGGTGTCTTTGGAGATTATGAGTTTTCTGGTAGAGGGACAATAACACCTATAACCTTTTTGAGTTGAGGAGTATCCGAGGAAAATGCATTTTTCTGCTCTAGCTCCTAGTTTGCCCCCATCATGTTTATGAACAAAGACAACGCACCCAAAGACCTTTTGTGGGATGGTATTGATGATAGGTGAGGTTGGGTAGGTTTCAAGAAGTTTTTGGATAGGGGTACTGAAATTGAGAATTTTGGAGGCCATTCGGTTGATAAGATAGGCTGCGGTTAGCACAGCATCTCCCCAAAACAGACTGGGAACATTCCTTTCCATCATAATGGCTCGGGTTACTTCTAAGAGGTGCCTATTCTTTCGCTCGGCAATTCTATTTTGTTGAGGAGTATAGACACACGAGGTTTGGTGGTGGATTCCCTGTTGTTCAAGAAATTCCCTAAAGGCTCCTCTCATATACTCTTTAGCATTGTCACTTCGCAGTACTTTAATGGGAGTTTGAAATTGGGTTTGCACAAAAGAGTGAAAGTTTTTGAAAATTTGTAAGGCTTCGGATTTCTCTTTCATAAGGTAAACCCATGTAACCCAAGTATGATCATCAATGAATGTAATAAACCACGTTGTGCCCGTTCGGGTTTTAGTTTTGGCTGGTCCCCAAATGTCGGTATGGATCATCGTAAACGGTGTAGTGGGTTTGTAAATATGTTTGGGATAAGAAGCACGAGTTTGTTTGGCAATTTGACAAGTTTCACACTGGAAAGGTGAAGAATTTTTATTGAATAAAGTTGGAAACACATGCTTCATATAATCAAAGCTGGGGTGGCCTAATCTTAGATGCCACAACATTACATTTTTATTCTGAGAATTGGTGCTAACCATAGCTTTCCTTGCTTCTTTAGTCTTCATCTCCTTTCCTTCAAAGTAGTAGAGTCCATCCCATTCTTTAGCAGTCAAAATCTTCCTCCCCGAGGTCGAATCCTGAAAAACACATTTAACATCATCAAAGATCACCCGACATACTTGTCCTTTAGTCAATTTGCTCACAGATATAAGATTGCAAGTGAGAGCAGGAACAAACAAAACATTATGAATTTCCAGATCATCAGAAAGAGCCACAGTGCCAACACCCTCAACTCTAGTATATAGGCCAGTTGCTACTTTTACTCTAAGGTTCTCATGGGAGTATTTGAGAGTTTTGAAGAGAGACTTGTTACCAGTCATATGGTCTGTAGCACCGGAGTCAACAATCCATGTCTCATCACTAGTTACCATTGCATTAAGGGCAATAATAGAATTACCTGACTGGATCAAGTTTACGTTGGGAACTGATTTTGATTTGTTTTGCTTTTCAAGTATCTTATGAAGCATTTGAAGTTCTTCTCTGGTCAAGCGGTCTCCATCATCACTTCTTTCCTCGGAGGAGGTGTGGTGGCTCTTTCCATCTTGTCGTTGTTTCTGTCTCCCTGTGGTTGGTTTTCCATGTAGTTTCCAGCACTCATCTCTGGTGTGGCCCTTCTTGTTACAGTGATTGCACCACTTGCTCCCTTTTCTTTCAGAGCTCTCTGATGTTTGGGAACTCCTTGTGAATAACGCGGAGCCATCTATTGGAATTTGGTTTCCTTGAGTGAGATGTCTCCGGCTTTCTTCGAACTTAACCATACTGAAGACTTCAAATAGGGATGGAAGAGGTTTAAGACCCATAATTCTGCCTCTCACTTCTTCAAAAACATCATTCAGGCCTAATAGGAAGTCATAAGTTCGACCTTTTTCAACTAGCTGTCTGTAGTAATTAGCATCATCAATATTCTTCCACGGATGTACTTCAAAGAGATCCAATTGCTGCCATATCTTTGTCAAGGTGCTGTAGTATTGTGTTACAGTCAAGTTTCCTTGCTTTAGATCCTTGAGTTGCCTCCTCAGATCTAATAAGGCAGCAGTGTTGTCTAATGTAGAGTAAGTGCGCCTAGCAGCATCCCAAATCTCCTTGGCTGTGCTTGCCAGAAGGTATCCCTCACTAATTTCGAGAGTCATTGAGTTGCATAGCCAAGACATCACCTGATTATTTTCAGCAAACCAGGTGTCAAAACTAGGATCATTATGTGCCGGTTGTTTTGCTTCTCCATTGATATACTTCTCCTTACGCTTCCCACGTAGATACATTAAAACACTCTGAGACCATTGCAGATAGTTGCTGCCATTCAGTTTGTGAGCCACCACCATAGCTTGAGGTTCAGTGGTTGTTGTCAAGTCTGACACTAAATCAGATGTTTTAGAAGGGGCCATTGGTGAAGAAGAGTTACCTTGAGTATTTGAGGATGTGCCGGACATAAGGGCCGTTGGGATGATGCCTTTGGAGACAGGCATATTGCAAGCAGACCCAAAAAGTGGTGGGAAATCCGATGGATTCATCTTCTGGACCGAAGGAGGTACTGTGGCGGCGCTGGCGACGGCGCGTGAGATTCACGCGCGGAGGCTGTGACGGCGCGTGAGCTTCACGCGCGGCTCCGTTTGACGTCGGCTTCCGGGGATGCGCCGATCGGAGGTTTCCGGTGAGGTCTGGAGGGGCGGTGTCGGTCACGTCCAGCTTCTGGCTTCAGATCTGAGGACGCCCCACTCTCTCTCTCTCCTCACTCTCTCTCTCTCTCCGTTTTCCGGCAGTGTTTCAGGATGGAATTTTGGGTTCAGACCGAACCCAGCGCTCTGATACCATGACTGAATATTTTGAGTAATTCACTCTCATATGTTATTTCATATGATTAGGCTACAATATATAGAGTCCGGATGGGTGAGAGGATCCGGTTACAATCAATCAGAATTGAATTACAATTAATTAGAGATATAGCAGCACATAATCAGGGATTTATTTACTAGCTAAAATCAAGGGTGGAAATCTGGGAATAATCTGAGAATATCACAAGCTAATATCACGGGCTTGCTAACAAAAATGTTCTACTGAGCCAACTTATATCTCTATTAAGGAGACAACTTTTTTTTTTGGAGGGGGGGGGGGACATGAACCAAATACCAATGAAAGGAAAAAGATCTCATTTTATACTAACCATACACTAAAAAGTAGCAGTGACACCATATTGCCAGAAAAATCAAGTCCTTCGTATGCACTTAGTGGTAGGGCAGTGTAGAAATACTTCAACTTCAAAGCAGCATATTAAACTTTATTTGGCAGTATCTTTAAAAATAAAAGATTTCATGGTGTAAACTTCCATGAAAATTAATTATGAAAAATGTAAAATTAATTGCTGTTTTAAGCTGTGTTTGTGCATTCTCAAGAAATTAATCTGGTCTAATATGCATGGTGGAAATATCTACAAGGTCCAGAGTATTTTCAAAATTTGTCGGGGCGGGAAGCTAACCAGGAAAAATCCAAACCTAGGGTGTTAAGAAGAGATATCTCTTCTTACCAATTGAGATAAACCTTGGGGTTTACAAATTATCTATGCAAAGATTATTTCCTGCAATAATTCTTCCATGTGAATTCCAGATGGATAAATGTTGTAGTCAAAATTTTCGTTGATTGCATTTCAATTGAGGCTTACGTATCAGGTCAAAACAATGTGATGGAGACCTAAGAAAGCACAGAGAAACACCACTAAAACAAATTTTTGTAGAGCGGAAGAACTATGACCCTTAAGTACCGTAGAAATTTCTGTTAGCTCCTCAATCAGGGCCTCATCATAATGATGTAGGAAATGAATCAATAAGATGAAAACAGAAAACATACTGTGTTAGGAAAAGCCTTAGATGAATCACCACCATGCGCACATACAAGAGGAGGATCCTTAAGCCAAGCACATTTCCTCAATTGCATCTGCATATTCAATCCAACAATTACATATAAATCATACGACCCTATCATAATAATCGTCGAACAGAAAAAGTGAACAACGGTTAAGAGTGTTCGCGAAGTTATCCTCTTAGAAATCCAAGTTTTATCTCAAATCATAAACAACGTAGATTTGCTTTGATGATAAATTCAAGGAAAATGAAGTGACTCTTTAAACGGTTCTGGATGGTAATTGAAATTATCCTCTTAATTTATGATGCACTAATAATTGTAAATCGAAGGTACGCGATTGGGGATTTATATTTGGTTGTTTACGTCTGGGAATTAATAATTAATAATACCGTATTCTAGGATATTTGTGCTATCTATATATAATTGCTTATACAGAAAATATTATCTAATATAGGACTTCTAAAACTAGACGCGACGAAGATTATCACTTAAACATAGTGATCTAACAATTAAAGCCCAGATCTGGACATCATTTGAAGCGAAAAAGGACATAAATCTTCAATCCCACTCTGACGGAAAGTTTCCGCTATTCTGAGCCAAACATAAAATTGTGAATGCGCGCTATCGTTTTTGAATGTACACCGATTCACATCCATAGTTCATTTAGCTTCCAGACTACTTTGCGCAGGAAACTAATTTGAATGTATAAATCCATAACAACTCAAAGAATAAGTCCGGTGGGGCGTGTTTAACAGAACGGAGATGGCAATGGGAGTACCAGATGAAGTCGTCTAAGACGGAAGTGGAAGAAAAGGGGAGGCAAAATAGCAAGCAACGCGAGACATATGATGATCGTATTGATGATCCTCCGGGAAGAAAATCTGAAGCGAAGCCGATTTCTGGGCCCTGGAGCACTGGCAGCGTTCGGGAATAGTTGTTGCCTCCTGCTAAATCTCAAAGCCATTGCCGCCCATGCCCGTTGGCCGTTGCTCGATCATACAATTTCTGTCCAGGCAAAGGGTTTACATAATTTTGTTTTTGGTCAGAACTCAGAAAAGAGTTTACATGGTGGTAATGTTAACGTAATGAATCGAAATTGGAGCAAAAAATAAAAATAAAAACTTGGAAAAGATGCCCAGTCAGTAATCAAAGTTCCAAAGACAAATTATTGATTAGAATAAAAATAGCCAAAGATACTAGGAAGAATAACATTTGAGACGTTCTAAATATATTCATTATCTTTTAAGAACTATGAAAAAGAAATATCGTAGTGTTTCACTGGAATTAAAATTTGAAAAAATAACAACAAAAAAACCTGAAAAATGTGATATCACCCAAATAGTTTCTGAATTAGCATAATCCCAGAAATTTGCATGGTCTAAAATAGAATTTTGAAATTCAAATAAAACTATACAAATGCTCCTATTTATAATTCCTACTCTGAAATTGGTAAAATAAAGTGAAAACTTGTTATTACTAGCTGAAATTTAAGAAATAAGAATTTTCCAAATATATGATTTTTTTTCTTATTTTCTTAAGTTTTTATGTTAAAATTGTGACTTGTTAATTTCTATTTTAAAAGAGGTAAAATGTATCCAAAAGTTGTTATTGTCGTTTGAAGTTTAGAAATTAAGATAATATCGATTTTTCAAGTCATACACATTTGTACTAGTTTTGACTACACTTGTCATTCACAAATTTTATATTTATATTGACTATATTTCATGGGTTATTAACAACTTTTGTTTAGCAAAGTCATTCACAATTTTTGTAACTGACTACATTTTATTAGATATTAACAATTTGTCCAAAAATATTCATTCCCTGCGGATGAACATTGGAATATTCCTTCCAACTACCAGAACATTCCTTTCGTAGGCAAAGGCAGCGGCGCCAACAGCTGCCGGCCAACTGGCCACTGAGATCTCCTATGAGAGGGTGAGAAACTTTTTTTAAAACAAGGGTATTTATGTATTTTTAATTGAATTTTAAATTTTCAATTTAGATTTCTATATTTTTTTTAAATTAAGCATATTGGGAAAACCTATGAGAGTGCTTAGCAATTTTGAGATTTTGTATGTATCATTTTACAGTTTAAGTTGTTTTTTATTTCATATTCATTTGTATCTCTTTAGTATATAATTTCAATCATTTCTTTACTTGTCTTTTTAATATATTTGGTAGTTCAATTTGATATTTTCAAATTTCAATGCTTACTCTCAATATTTTTAATAATTAAAGAGCTAAATAATATAAAACTTCATGAATTTCATGCCATATGTAAGTAACTTCGCTCTTCTTATTTTTCGAAGCTTTACAATTAATCTCCATCCACTCCTAAATTTTTTTATAGATAACTCCTATATACTGCTAGTACTAGTTTTCTTCATTATTTATATACAATGACTAGATTTTTCTATACATAACTCAAAGTTTGAGAGTGTAATATGCATAAAAAAATTTAAAAGAGTATATAAAATTAATAGTTTGAAATTATATGCATAAACTTGAAAGTATATGGAGGGTTTATTATTAAATTTTAAGAGTTAATATAATTTTTGGTCCCTAAAATTTAAACTTATTTTAATTTTAGTTTCTTAAATTTCAAATCGTGGTTTTAGTTCCCAGAATTTAGTCTATTTTTAAACAATGTTAATACCTGAAGTATTGTAAACAATGTTAAAGTAATTATATTGACTTACTAGATGTCATCTAATGGATTGCATGAATAATAGAACGATTAGGGGTGTGTTTGGGGATAAATCACCCAAACACCCATTCAAAACCAAAACCATGGTTTTGGGTCAAAACCATGTTTTGGCTCCAAAACCATGGTTTTGGAAAAAGCAAAATTTGCTTTTAGAAAAAAGGGAGAATGAGAGCCTATAGGATAGTATCTTGTATTTTTTTATAAACATATTTTTTTATAAACATATTTAATCGTATATTTGAATATATATACATATAATTATTATGTTATATATATCTTATGTATTATTAATTATGTGGTAAAAAATATATTATTACAATTTTATCTTTTAAATTAAAATATATCATAAAATTTATTTTTTGTAATTATCATATTAACTTATGTCTTTTTTTTGTAATTTGTATATATAAAAAGTGCTTCTGTAACAACTATCCAAACACTCTCACTTCTCAGAACACTTTTTTACAAAATCATTCTTCACAGAATCTATTCTCCCAGAATCTATTCTGAATCACTTCCCAAACCACGGTTTGATTTCATCCAAACACACCCTAGATAGAAGAGGATGAGTTCTCAAAACGTGAACAACTCCTCAAATGAATAAAAGAAAGAATAAAAACGGGTTGAACAACTGCATTGTAAGGATCTGTTCTCTTTTTTCTTCTCCCTATTATCTAAACAAAGGGGTGTTTGGATGAGGCAAAACCATGGTTTGGAGAATAGCTTCTGGAGAAGATTTTCTGGAGAATAGATTTTGAAAGAATAGCTTTTCTAAAAAAGTGATTCTGATAAAGTGAGAGTGTTTGGATAGTTGTTGTCAGAAGTGCTTTTTCATATATAGAAATTACTAAAAAGGATATATGTATATATATTAATTACATATAAGTTATAGTTCATAATATATGTTAATTTGAAGTAAATAAATAATATTAATAAAAAAACTAATACGTATATATATGAATAAAATAAATAAATATGTTTTTTTGCAAAGTAATTTAATATAATAATTAAATATGTATATATATTAATAAATAATATATATTAATGAAATAATTAAAATTAAAACGTATATATATGGACAAAATAATTAAATATGTTTTTCGTAAAATAATTTATTTTGCCAACAAAAAATATGATTATTTCTTATAGATTTTAAAGATGAAGAAATCCGATAATTTTTTTTGACAAAATTAAAAAACCACACAAAAAAAATTTCATGTCAATTGTCTTCATAATAGAGGTTACAACGAAATATATTTGTTCAAATACTTTTTTTTTCTAACAACACATTACATTATCTGAAAGAAAAAAAGGAAATAAACAGGACATAACTATTCTCGTATAATTAATTTGTTTTTTTTTAAAACAATACTCCTTACTAAAATCAAACACAAATATTTCTAAATTTTTTTTTTTGGGCATTCAATGATCAGTATTACATTTTCACTCCTAGCTATAAAATAGCTGAAGCATTTATGAAATTTTTAGGATATGTCCTTCACTGAAATTGAAATTTTTTGTATATGCGAAAAAGGAGATTCACACATATTCAATGACTTTCATTAAGAGAAATTTTAGAATGTCAGAGATAATTTTTAAAAATATATAAAATCAAAAAACTAATTTTAACCACCTTTGCTAATATGTGTTTCAATTAAAATCATCTTTTAAATAGGGCTGAGATGTAGTTAAATTGATATATTTAACTAATGAAAGCTAAAAAAAAAAGGAAACATTATTAAAAAGGAAAGTGATTTCAATATATATTTGACTGATCACTTAGAATGGATAGGTGGCTTTAGCAAATTTGCAATTGCAACAAGGATTGTGCACTAAAGGATGAAAACATAAGCATATTTTTTCACGTCACAATCTTACTGCACCGTATATGGTCACTTAGCTTGGAAAATCTCAGTTAAATTTTGTTTATCTATTTTGATTTTAGTCTGGCTTCTGATACATATGACCTGATGTATGCTTTAAAGGTTTTTCTAATTGTGTTTCGAATCGCAAATAAATGGACGGGCACCGACCACAGAGTAAAAATTCACATCTTGAAGGTATATATTCTGTTTCTCCTGATCATCCAGCATATAAAACCGAAATTGCTTTGTGGAACTATGAGACACCGAAATTATTAGAAACATTTTCCTTTTCATAGCAAATAATTAAAGGGATATCTTTGCAAAATCAAACCAACTCAATCGGATGTGGGGAATCCTCAGGGGTCAGGCCGAAAGGAAAGAAAAACAGAAAGAAAATTATCATTTTTACATCAGGCTTAACTGAAACTCAACATATTGTTTCTGGTTTGTCAATAACATCTGATCGGTGTCAAGCAAGCAACCAACAAAATCAGCCACTATAAGTGAACATAGCATAGGCAACCGGTGAAACCAACATCTGTCTCGGAGAAAAAAAGCGACGCTGGACGGAACCTCTGTTTCAGGGAAAAAACATGACGCTTGACAGAATTTCATAATGCACCAGATCTCCAGCCACAATGACCGACGAAAGAAGACAGCTTACCTGAAACGTTGGATCTGACCGACAGAAGAAGACACGGCGACCAGAGCTTCAGAAGGGGCGACAGTGGAAGAATGATATGTGCTTGTGTTCTTGGCTGAGTGATGGAACCGAACACAGTGACTTCAGATGAACTGACCAGCGACGATACCAGAAATGGAAGGCTTGGATCAGGCAACCCAATACGCGATCTTCTTCTCGGAGGCCGAGAAACACCTCGTCGGCACTGAAATTCCTCAGCGGTTCACGATCTCACAGATGGGATGAAGAGGCGACGGCACAGGAGAACCGATTTCTTCAGCAGGGGCGACGGCACAGGAGAAGGGAAATCTTCAGAGCAGTGGGAGAAGGGGCGACGGAATGGGAGAGAAGGTTCTTCTGAAGGGGCGACGGAAGGGGAGAACTTCAGATGGGAGAAGAGAAATGGGAGCCTTCGAATGGGAGAGGAGGCAATTTCACCGTTGGAAGCTACTGACAGGAGTAATAATTACTCCAACGAATATTTTTACTCCTCAAAAGCAGGTCGCCTGATGCTTCCAAAGAAACCAAGGTTTCCATACTCAAAACCATGGTTTTCCTGAAAACCATGGTTTTCAGAAAACAAGGGGTGTTTGGCAAATTTTTTGCCAAACCATGGTTTGGCAAAACACCCAAACACCCCCTAAGTGTCATCTAATAAATCCACATCATCACTTTAACACCGATTGCAATACTTCAACATATTTTAATATTGTTACATTTTCAGGGACTAACATTTGAAGACAGATTAAATTTCAGAGACTAAAATGATGAGT